TACATGAATAAAACGAATGAATATTGTTGTTATTGTGAATCTATGTCGTAGGGATTTTCCGATCTTAATGGTTGTCCGATCTTAATTATGATTATTTTTTTTTTGTTTTTTTGCTTATGAATTCATGTTGTATGTTCTGGTGGATTTTCCGATCTTAATTATGATTGTTTTTTTTTTTTTTGCTTATGAATTCATGTTGTATGTTCTGGTTCAGGTAATTCCATTCCTTAGAGGAAATGCATGGGAACAATCGCCTCCTGATCTTGCTTCATATTTGTACAAAAATCGAATTGTATATCTGGGTATGTCCCTGGTGCCTTCGGTGATAGAGCTAATGTTAGTTGAGTTCTTATACCTTTCAATATGAAGATGAGCAAAAGCCTATTTACCTTTACATTAATTCCATAGGCACTACGAAGGTCAGTGGTTCTTCTCATAATCATGATTTTAGGAAATCAATTTTTGTATGTTAGCTCAATCAAAATTGATGGTGTTGAAACTATCTTCTATTGATTACTTTGCAACTTAAGTCGTGAATATTGATAAATTATATTATATGAGTTGGCAATATAATGTTCTTTAATGAGTTACTAAACATCATCGGTGTGCACAATTCTAAAACTTTCTCCATTGATCTAGAATTATAAACAAGTCTCTCCATGATTAAAATTGGGATAGGTTAATAGACTTGATTAAGATTAATTTGATCACACTTAGTTCTAAATTTCATGCCTATTTGGAACAAGAGAAGGAGATTACAGTCGTCCAATTGCTATAAACTATGTAGATTTAGATCGGATGGGACTTAGTTATAAGCTAACTTGCCTAACCGGCTAAAACCTTGGGCTAGCCTGGTTACCTTTGCTTTAATCAGGGATACCAGCATATTATGTTGTTGGAAATGATCTCATGATAAAGCTGATGAATTTTAGTGTTTTGTGCAGTAAATTGGAAAATTTTAAGAAATTTCATCACCACTTTATATGATTTAAGATAAATATATGTCAAATTTTGCAAAAATTGCTATTAATTTATTAGAGAATTAGCCTTATTAAATGTATGGTAAATGTCCCATAATGTTTAGGTTCTGGTGCAATGAGTAGTCTCTAGTTATGATCAATCATTTTTGACAAATTGCAAACCATCATTTAATTACTTAAATTTTTTTTATTCCTAATACTCGTTTGGGAAAAATTCATTTGCCACAAGCATTAGTCCCTACTAAGAAAATGATCTATATGTGTGTTTGGATGCTAGGAATTTGAGTTAAAAAGGAATGCAAAAGAGGGCTGAAAAAATATAACATAATGATTATTGATCTTTATCAATCAATATTTTATTGAAATTTCATTTACTTTCCTTCAGTCCAAACAAAATTATTGTAAATTTTTATTGATATTATTTTGATACAAATCAAACCAATTTTTCATAGAAATTTGAGCAAACAAATATTTTATTTCACCAATCTCAAATGAAAGCAATATAACACCACACAACTCACACAAACACATAACAGATAAGCACCAGCACTTCGAGAGGTAGGCAATCTCTCTTAAATGCTACAATTTGAAAGGTTGGAAATCTCTCCCAAACCCTAAACCTAAAACTAAAGACCACAATCTCATTTAAAACTTAACCCTAAACATATTAGCCATATCTAACCCTCATAATAATAAATATTAAAAGACCATGCTTCTTTTAGGCTAATAAAGGACTAAATTAGGGTTTAGGCTCCAACATAACATTACTCCATTCCCAAAAGACATGTTGTCTTCAAGGTGGAAAACAAATAAAATTATTGTTGGGAGAAGTCCTATGGCTTCCAACTCACATCATCATTTGACAATTCTTTCTCTCTCATCATTGTTGGTACCCTAACTTCAAGTTAATCATGGAGAATATTGCCACCCCAAAAAACTTATCCAATAGCTCATCGACCACCAGAACCTTTGCCAATTTCGTATTATGTGTCTCTTTCATGTTATGCAACTTGATTAAGAATCGTAATCTTGCATCATGAATTGTCCCCACCACGGTGTTGAGCATCATCAAACTCTTGCACAAATTGGGGTCACTGCGAAGCACCACAATCTTGTCTCCATCATGATTACTCTGTAATGTCAAAATCAATCCCTTACAAACTCCTATGTTTTTCTCCATTTGTTACATTTTCATCATTACTTTTGAATTGTCTTTTGCTTGGAAATTTGTTGTAGCAAAAGACACTTGCGAAGTTGGAAGCAACCCACATCCAGCATCCTACCCACCACAATTTCCTATTCCATGGAGAAATCCTTCAAATCGATCTTCTCCAGCCCCGAATCACGTTGTCGCTTGATCTCATGGCAGGCAGTTTTGTGTGAAATTTCATGATCTTCTTTATCAATTTTTTTAGGATCGTGAACTTACATCCATGGACGACAACTGCCCCTACATGGATGAGAAACACTAATCTATTTTAAATCTGATGTGGCTCATCTCTTTCTTTAATTTGTTCTCCAGAGCATTTAATTTCTTGACCGCCATTACTCCTCATAAGGTTTTCGATCACAAAGGTGGAACTCCTTTATGTCGCTATCATGTTTTTGGCTTCCCAGCTACCTTGAATCTCAACAAGAACGCAGCAATTATATTGTTGGCTTCTTGGATCACGAGAGGTTTAATCACTAGGGCAAACTCAATATGGTAGCTGACTTCTTGGATTTCGGATTGCGACTGGCACGTCGTGATCCCGCTACTGTATTGCAACTGTGATCTACTTCCCAACTATATCTTTGTATCGCGATCATGTCACCCTAACAAGCTTTTTATCAAAACTGTATCGCTCACGCCATGTGTCATTTGCACTGATCCCGCCATTTCTTCCCAGATGTGTGCGGATTGCGGCTGTATCACAAGTTTTGATGCGATGGACGTTGTAGGCCTCTATCCTAATTCGTCAATCTGTATGTAGTGATCCTGATATTGGTTTCTCAGAATCAAACAATATGATACCACTTAGATACAAATCAGAGCCAAGTTTTCCACAAAAATTGGGGCAAACAAATTTCGATCACAAAGGTGGAACTCCTTTATGCCGCTATCATGTTTTTGGCTTCCCAACTACCTTGAATCTCAACAAGAACGTAGCAATTATATTGTTGGTTTCTTGGATCACGAGAGGTTTAGTCGCTAGGGCAAACTCGATATGGTAGCTGACTTCTTGGATTTCGGATTGTGACTGGCACGTCGTGATCCCGCTACTGTATTTCAACTGTGATCCACTTCCCAACTATCTCTTTGTATCGCGATCATGTCACCCTAACAAGCTTTTATCAAAACTGTATCGCTCACGCCATGTGTCAATTGCACTGATCCCGCCATTTCTTCCCAGATGTGTGCGGATGCAGCTGTATCACAAGTTTTGATGCGATAGACGTTGTAGGCCTCTATCCTAATTCGTCAATCTGTATGTAGTGATCCTGATATTGGTTTCTCAGAATCAAACAATATGATACCACTTAGATACAAATCAGAGCCAAGTTTTCCACAAAAATTGGGGCAAACAAATTTTTTATTCAATAACACAAAACAACACAACATGAATACGTAAAGATAATCATGTATAATTTGAGTTAGGCGATCTCTCCAAAATTCTAACCCTAAGACCCAAGACTACAATCTCATGCATAACCTAAATCTAAACATATTAGCCTTATTTATACCCCCATAATAATAAATGCTAAAATATTAAGTTGCCCTTAAGATATTAAGGAATTAAATTTCCCTTAGGCACTGGCGGAACAAATTTTTAAAGATTCCCACGATTCAAGAAAATGATACATTTGCAATTTCTGATGAAAGATGAGAGAGCATGTTTTAAGAATAAATTGTCTTTGTTTGAGAATTGATACTTCACAAGTTACCTCTATGGGGTGTAATGGTGCTTACAAAGTATAACTTAGGAGGATATATATGATGATCGTGCATCGCAATATCAAGCTCAAGAGCCTATCATTTTATAGAATAAGCACAACAATCAGGAATAATTTACAAAAATAACAACAACAGAGCCTTAATCCCACTATGTGGGGTCGGCTACATGAATCCTTTTTCTCCATTGTGTCCTATTTAGTTTCATATTTTCATTTAGTTCTAATAAATTAAGAGCATTTTTTTCTACAATGAGCCCAAGTCTTCCTAGGTCTACCTATGCCTTTCTTGACATAAGTCGAATCTAAAACATCTACTCTCCTTATTGAATCATCAGATGGTCGACGCTTAATGTGACCAAACCATCTAAGGCGACTGTCTCTAATTTTGTCTGTCACAGGAGCTACACCAACTCTATCACGGATATACTCATTTCACATTTTGTATCTAAGTGCAAAGCCACTCATCCACATAATCATTCTCATCTTGGCAACACTTAACTTAGTATTATGCTTCTTTTTTAAAGGCCAACATTCAGCGTCATAGAACATCGCAGCTCTCACCACCGTCTTATAAAATTTTCCTTTCAGTTTAAACAGTATCATAGAACATCGCAACTCTCACCACCGTCTTATAAAATTTTCCTTTCAGTTTAAACAGTACTTTTCTATCACACAAAAGGCCCAAAGCATTCCTCCACTTCAACCTACCAACTTGAATTCTACTATTAACATCCCCATCCATATCACTGTCGCTTTGAACAACAGATCCCAAGATATCTAAATCGTTCACACCTTTTAATAAATAAAATGGGCCATCTGCATACATAACACACAATTCTTGTGTATTTACATATCTCACACAAAAATATATAGTTTACCGTATAGGGTGCAACATTATATATTATTGTTATTTGGGGTATGTTATAGAATTTTTTAGTAATTTTTAGATTTTACATTAATCATTTTAACTCTATGTTTGTTCTTCACATCTAATTCTAGAGGAATTGCAATCTCATGGTGTGAATAATGTGATCTTATATTGGTCATGAAGTGTTGAACATTCTGAAGAACAAAACTTGGGTCCAAAATGCAGTTGCTAAAAACACATCCTAAATGCCAAAGAACCTGGCCGGCCTCCTCTCCAGTGCCTCCACCGCCAACCACGCGACCGAGCTGCACGGCCGCCTCATCACATCTAATTCTCTCTCGCACCCGTACTTCAACTCCCTCCTCGTCTCCCTCTACGCCCGTTGCAATCTCCTCTCCTCCGCCACCGCGGTCCTTCTCTTGCTCCCCTCTACCACCGCCGCCCATGCCTGCCACCATGTCTCTCCCGCTGCATGCACAGCCGTCCTCTCTCGCCTCTCCCGCTCCCCCCGTCCTGCCGACGCCATCTCCCTTTTCTCTCTCCTCCGCCACCACAGCCGCCTCCCTCACCCCAGCCCCTTCACCTTTTCCGCTCTCCTACCCGCCTGCCGCTCATCCTTCTCAGGCTCTCAACTCCACTCCCTCGCCCTCAAGTACGGCGTTGCACACGACCTATTCGCCTCCTCAGCACTCACAGACATGTACGCCAAATCCTCGGATATGGACTCGGCTGAGCTCGTGTTCGAGGAAACGCCCCGCCAAAACCTCGTCTCCTGGAATGCTCTACTAGTCGGCTACGTGCACAACCACCAATTTCACAAGGCAATATCGGTTTTTAGCGGGCTGTTCCGACTATCCGACCCGTCAATGAAGCCCGACCAGGTTACCTTCTCTGCCGTTTTGACTGCATGCGCCAACTCAGGCGAGCTCTGTTTCGGTCTTGGCGCTCACGGCCTGACTGTAAAGATCGTTATGGACTCACTCGCCTACGTCAATAACTCGCTGACCAACATGTACTCAAAATGTGGCCGGGTGGAAGACGCACGCAAACTGTTCGATGAGATACCCGAAAGGGATGCCGTAACATGGAACATAATGATTGCCAGTTTCGTTGAAACAGAACATCTTGCAGAAGCATGTCGATTATTCATGGCCATGAGAAGACTTGGCATCAAACCTGACGAAGCCTCCTTCTCCACATTGCTCCATGCCTCATCAAACCTAGCACAACTCCTATTCGGTGCTGAAATTCATTGCCAGGTTGTGAAGTTTGGGCTCGCAGAGAACTGCTGCATCACCAGCTCTCTCATCACCATGTACTCAAAATGTGGTAGTTTGGAAGAAGCACAGCTAACCTTCGCCGACACCAAGGTTCGCCACAACGTTGTGTCTTGGACGGCAATGATTGCAGCATTGCAGCAATATGGATTGGGCAACCATGTACTCCAACTGTTCGATGAAATGCTGGAAGCTGGTCTTCAGCCAGACTACATCACATTTGTATGTGTTCTCTCGGCCTGCAGCCATACCGGACTTGTGGAAAAAGGTTTTGAATACTTTAAATCCATGTCCCAGTATCACAAGAAAATCCCAGGAAATGAGCATTACGCTTGCATGGTGGATATGCTGGGCCGGGCTGGCCGGCTGGATGATGCAAAGCAGTTTATTGATAGAATGCCGGTTAAACCCGATGCCTCGGTATGGGGAGCTTTGCTTGGAGCCTGTAGGAATTGTCGGAACCTGGAATTTGGCAAGGAGGTCGCTTACAAGCTGTTTGAAATAGAGCCACATAACTCTGGAAACTATGTCTTGTTGTCAAATTTGTATGCCACCCATGGGAAGATGAAGGAAGCAAATGAAGTGAGGAGGCTCATGAGGATCAATGGTGTAAAAAAGGAGACCAGTTGCAGCTGGATTGATGTGAGAAACAAAACCTTTGTATTCACAGTACACGATCAATCTCATGACTGTACACAACAGATATATGAGAAGCTGAGGAAATTGGAGGGGTTGGTTAAAGAGAAGGGCTATGTGGCAGACACATTGTGTGCTGTGAATGATGTTGAAGAGTACAAGGAAGAAAATTTGTGGCATCACAGTGAGAGGCTTGCACTTGCATTTGGTCTGATAAGTTTGCCAGAGGGTGCACCAATTCGGATCAAGAAGAATGTTAGAACCTGTGGAGATTGTCACACCATTATGAAGCATGTTTCAGGGATCTTTCAAAGAAGGATAGTTTTGAGAGATACAAATCGCTTTCACCAATTTGTCGATGGGTCATGCTCATGTAAAGACTACTGGTGAGCAAATTAGTTCAAGAATTTGACCGATGGGGTATATTTCATTAATGCGGGTTCATCTTCTCTTCAATTAAGTTTCTCATTGATGGCTTATTGGTTTTGGTCGTCTAAAGTAAAGAAAGTTTAGATCCTGATATTCTAGCAAGTTTATAGCCATTTGATTCTTTTTTTTTTCTTTTAAGAAACTAGCAGAGTAAATGCTTAATCAAGTAATAGTAAAGAAAGTTTAGATCCTGATATTCTAGCAATTTTATAGCCATTTGATTCTTTTTTTTTTCTTTGAAGAAACTAGCAGAGTAAATGCTTAATCAAGTAATATATCATATTATCTTTAGGGTGATAACTCCCTTCTATCTCACATGCGTTCCTGAAAGCTGCCTTTCTTCTCATCCAGCTTTTTCATTAAACTACATGCTTATGGTGCATTTGAGACGGTTGTGGTTGTATAAAATCTCAGCTTAAAAGTTGTAGAAAATCTACTGTTTAAAAATTGATGTTTCAAAAGTAGTTGTTCTATTTGAAAATTTTAGTTTCGAAAGTAATGGCTGTGGATAAATGTCTGAAATACCCTGCTACTCTTATTATATAAAATTTTTTATGCTCTCGATTTTTTAGAAAGAGAATACAGTGATTTTTATGTTTTTTTATAGCCTTGTACAAAAAGTTTGATCTAGTTATTTATGATATATATATATATATATATATATATAATAAGAATGCTCTGGTCTCCCTTAATACATGGAATTTTGTGGTATGCTTGCAAAAAATAAATAATTCTATAGCATGCATGTAAGGCCTGAATTAACAAATCTCTGTGGTATGCATGCAAAAATCAAAAGTTGCTGTGAAACTTTTTGGAATGAAAATTTCCAAACCGTGGGATGCGGTCTCCCCCTAGCTTCTGCGGATCCACGGATTTCTCAGGAGTGTTCATTTCAGTGTTTTGACTGAACTTGCAAACAAACAAGTGAAACTTGGTTTTGGCCCAAAACGTGATTTGAAAAGTCAAAACAAACACACCCTTAGTCACATATAGGAATTGCACCTTAACATGAACACTATCAGAGTTCATTCTGAATATCTATTGTTTGTTATTTAATATATATTAATTGAGAATTTTGCAAAATCAGCCATTGTCAAGTTGTGGTTTGCAGTGCTAAGGAAATTCTTATAGAAATTTTAATAAGGAACGCACCTCCAATATCTTTGGATCAATGAAACGCATGGGGTGATTGATCCGTTACACAAATCCCTATGAATTTCATAAATCCCAGTGATTGTTAAATATAAGATTTACATACATCAATCAATTCTTATGTGTTTACATATCTTGCACTTAAACTTCAATTTTTACATATATATATGCCATTTTATCTATGATTTAACACGTTTATCTAGCTTTTTAGAAGTTAAAATAGTGGTACTTTTATGTGATATGAAATAATTGGGTGATATCAATGGTAAAAGTAAAGTTTAGCTGTTAGATATGTTAATAGATAGGAATTGGGCAGTGTGTATGTACTTGCCCCATATTATTTCTTCAAAATCATTTGTTCAAGCCACAAGCTTTACAATTTTATCAATCACCATCCCCTTAAGAAAAATCCCTTAGTGAACCCTTAGGATAATTGTGTTTACAGCATGATCATTAAAGGAAAAACAATTTTGGCGAGGATATCTTATATTTTAATGATTTTTATAACTCCTGGATTTATTTTGAAACGAGTGCATGCAATTGTCTCAAAAAAAATCCGAAAGTTCGTCTTGACAAAAATAATTGGATCAAACCTCTTCACAATAGATGAAGGGAAATATATAGCATGACTCTAAATTGGAATGCAAAACAGTGAGAATAGCTGCATCTACACCATAATAATATGTTTTTGAATATTTTCCGTCAAACACCTGCAAGCATAAGTTAAAGGATGTCGACGATGGGTTCATATAAATACCAGTCCTTTCTTTTCCTAGAGGAATTCAACAAAATTATCTAGGAAATTGACTTTTTCTTCAAATATATGTAAGAGATATGCATCAAATGGTGGCTAGCAGCCTAGCACTGCGGTCCCTCTTGGTTATGATGGTTTAGATCATCAGTGGCATATATTAATTTATTAGCACAACTCAAATCATCCTTACCCATCTTTAATTTATGTATTATTCTCTGAATCCATTCCCGTTTACTGCAGTAACAATAAAATAGTGGGATCAAGACATCTTCAAAATCCATCACTTGAGCGACTAGAATGCTATTTCTATGGTAGTTTCAAATGCCCTGTTCACGTGTTGCCTTTTTCAGGTGTTAAGGAATTCCTTCTTTATGTTTTGGTTTAATTCAAATTAAAATTAGGATTGATCTTATATCAACTTTATTTACTATCATAGGTGATCCGGAGTCTAGAAATAGTTGATCAGGCATGTAATTCATAGCTTCTAGTTTAAATAAAACTTTCCTTTGCAGTTTCAATATTATGAGGGCAAATTGGATGAATTATTTGTTGTGGTATATAAAATAGAACGATTAACGATGAAACAAAAAAATTAGAACGAGAAAATTCACTCTAGAAAAGAACAGACACACAAATTTACTAGGTTCGACAAATTTTTGCCTACGTCCACGAAATTGCAGAAAATTTTAGGAATTTACACCGTCGATCACGTAGACTAACAAAAAACAATTCTCTTTTCTTCTGTCTCCCTTCTCCTCTCTTTTCCTGTCTGAAATCCACACACAGAAGAAGTATAAACAGAGAAAAGGAATCCTTAAAATTCTTGTTATGCTTGGAGTTCGGTCAAACAAGAGAAATCCCGAAACCTAAAATCGGAGAGGAAGTATTTGAAATTTGGTTGCTAGAGTGCTATTTCTCCAATTTATCTTATCTAATGCTTTAAATGAATAGCGGGATTTTGCATCGTTTTGTGAATTCTAAGAGGCGAGAGTCATATTTTTGAAGAGGCACTGTTGATGAAATTCCTAATTAGGAGGAACTAGGATTGCTGGAGACATATCCGCTTATGTGAGGGAGTAAGTTCCATCCCTTAATGAACACCAATGGCTATAAAAGTATCTAGAAGATTGCTGCTACTTTACCTTCACCTCATGGACATGGTGGGGAGAGGTAATTGTTCAGCGCCGACGGCGTCATTTGACTAAGAGCACGGATTTTATTTATTTGAATAATTGCAGGTTGTTGATTTTTAATACTTAAAAGCAAAAATGATGGAATTTGGAGTCAAAATGAAGTTTTTGAATAATTGTTCAGCGCCGACAGCGTCATTTGACTAAGAGCACGAATTTTATTTACGAACCACTGGCGCCGACGGCGCCAGTGTCGGTGCATGCCATATTTCTAGAAGATTCGACTAATTTGACACTTTTTGAAGGGTTTTTGGATGCACATATTGGAGAACCGACCCTAGGCTCTATTTAACCGACCTTAGGTTCTATTTAGAGCCGAAATTTATTAGAAAATACCCTTTTTTCGTGCCCTTCACACCTTTCAGCCACTTTTCACTCTCTTCCACGTTATTCCACATTTCATTTAGCCACTTAGAGTCCGTTAGTCATTTAATTTCTTTATAGTTTTGAGTTTTTGTGGTGAGTTTAAGTGTGAATTCTTCTCTAAAAGTGTTGGAGAGGGAGACAAGTGAGAGATTTCTTCTTCCTACATTTCCTAAGAGATGTTATAAGGAATTTGCTTTGAGAAAGAGTTTCAGATAAATGTTGTTTGTTTATTATTAATGTATGAATTTTCTTTTATATATGACATTTGTGTTTTGTTATATATTTTGTTATATATTTCTCATGAAGTTATTTCTCATGAAGTTTGAGTAATTTTCTTTATCTTTCTCCATACTCTGAGATGTGGTGAAATAAAGAGATAATTTGGATGTGTTAATGTTAAAATATATCCACGACAAAAGATTCTTCAATGTGTTATTATTGCCAAAATGTTCTTAATTTACTTTTTGATTTGACAAATTGAATTATTAAAATATGTTGTGAAAAAAGCATTCTGAAAGGGCAATGCTTTCTGCAACAAAGTGAGAATCACATTCAATTTGATGGATGAGAATGTAGTCCATGGGATTGAGTGCAAATAAATATATAAATATACGTGGGTGTAGAGTTGGAGATTTTCAGGGTGACAGACTAAATTTCTCAATTCGATCTTAGTGTATAAGAACTAAAGCGAGAGTTAGCCTTCAGGGGAAGGGAAGTGGGAGCTCTGGAGTGAGAGTCAATATCCTCCTAGCATAGCCACGGATTTAGGGACTAAACCTGAGATTAGC